CACATTATTTTCTTCCGTTGCTTCATTAGTGGACAAAATAGGGTGTTTTCGTAGCCCAAACGCAAAACCATCCAGGGATTCGGTCTCTCTGGAAAATACAGCATTCTACTGGCCGTTAGCTGATCTAGAAGGATCAATAAAAGCTTAACAAAGGGTGAGCCCATCAGAACCCTGGCCATTACGAAGGTGATGAACAGCTCCAACAAGCAGAGCTTATACAGTAGATTTATCGGGTCCCTAGGGAAGAATCATGAAAGGGCAACTCTACTCTGCTAAAATGAGGATGCTTCGGGCATGTGGCTGAACACGACTGGATAGGATCAGGAACGAGGATGTCAGGGTTGGCCGCAAGCCAGCTAAGGAACGGGGGCAGCAGCTCGCACTGCTCACCAGACTCGAGGACCACCAAGAAAAGTGTTGGACTTTGGAGGCTTGGGCAAGCGACAACGAGGAGCTCCAGAGAAGATGTGGAAGGACGTCATTAAGAAGGATTTCTTGCCGTGGTGAAAGGTCATGTAGCAGAAGATACCTTGGATATGAGGAAAAGGGGTCGAAGTCCATCGAGAACACTGGACCCTGCAACGGCGTGGAAATGGTGATGGAAGGTCCACTCCAAGAAGTTCTACAGTCGATAATTATAATAATAAAGCCACCTTGGGTCATCGTTGTTCCAATCCGGGCCACTCGGGAGGGGGAAAGGTCGTCGTACTGACACTACCATCCCACAAATCCCGATGATGTACTCTGACTTCAGCACTTGAGCCCTATAGTAGGCCCGCATACAGCTGATATCGTCTCAATCAGTCGGGGCGGTTCCAAGAGGGAATCGAAGTCCACGGCGTTCCCACCATTGGTTGTTTCCTTTCTAGATCTATCGCTAATCGATTACTATTGGCAGGACAAGGCAGTCGGAGGCGGGCTTTCGGAAGCAAAGTAAATGGCAGTTTTCTTGTTTCCGGTGTTTTTTTTTTCTAGGAAACTTGATTGTAAAACGGAAATGTTATTTGTCGGAAGGCGGAAATAGACTTTTGAAAGACCTAATTGGTCCACTGAATAGACGATTTACACGATTGAGGTGAACTGTGATGCAATATCGCCGTTGCTACGAAAACACTATGACGTGGGCGACCAACTATTAAATCTCATACTTCACTCTCAAGAAATGAGATTGATAATTCGCGCAGAAGTGAAGCGAGGGGCAGTTCGGCAACGTGGGGAGGGTTGCATTTTGCACTAGTTCCCATCGACGTGTCGACCCATCTAAAAAGCTTTTTCTTGAGCTAAGAGGGTTATCGTGATGGCTCGACAAGCTTGCTCCAGCCTTCTGGGATTAATCCGTCGAAACCGTCGCACTGCCATGACTCGTTAGAAGGTTGAAATGCCGACAAAAGACGCACCGATAGCCGTGGCTCATTGAAATGCTAACGTTGTACAATTCTTTAAAACCTTTTCTGATATTTCATTCAAGGGAAACCACGATTGGAGTCCTCCAGTCACCCTAAGCCGTTTACCTGCGGATCGCGCATTGTCGTAAACCCTCCACACTTGGACCATGAAATTTGGACAAAGTGTTTCAAAGTAGAATTACCGACATATTTGGAAACAGCATGATTCCGTGATCATTTTGGTATCACCAATGATAGGGTTTCATGTGAAAGTTCAGGTGAAAATTTAGGTTTAAAAAGATCACTTCGAGTTCATTGCTTCTTTACAGTCTAGCTTTCGAGGAAAACAGGGTAACTTCAAGCCAATTAGGAGGCAAAGGTAAACAACTACAATACCCGCCCTAATTGTTCGAAAAAAAACGCCAAACCGCGTTTTTTCGTCGTCTGACGAACAAATATGAGTCCCCGCTCTCGAGCGACCAAACTCGACTCTCCTAAATGGGGATCCCCAATGTGAGACGTGACCTCTGATAGGTAATTTAGCCCCGCAAGCATGAACTTGAACGTGAACATCTACTTGACCTGGAAATGTTTGGCGCCAGCGCCAAAATACCAAATTGGTCAAATTCAGTGGAAACTTGTCCACAGGAACGAGTTCACTCCTCAAGCATGGATATAACAACCATTCAGTGCGGGAGCGCTCAGCGTCCTCGTTACAGGCGCTAGCGCGAATGTCGAAGAAAGCGATTGCCGCCAGGGCCTTTAGCGCCGACACAAATAGCCTTTCGCGCAAAGCCGGAGTTGCTTTCTTGTTCAGAAGATTGAGCTATCCTTGAAAACGAAATTCTGGCTAAGTCGAAATTCTGACGCAAACTCCGAGAAGAGGAGGCTGCAGTGAATTATAGATAACCCCGGAACTTCTAAGAGACTTTTTCGCGATAGGTCGAGCGTCAGTGGTCCGTGAACTGACGTGGGTGTATTGAAAGTATAAAAATCATCTACCGTACTACCCTTTGTTTCAATCAAATCCTCTCTTCCA